ACAGATGGCAGAAGAGGTGGAAAGATGTAGTTTTTGGCTTTGGCTGAGAAGGAAGGACTGCCACTGGAAAACCAAGGAGTAGTAGTCAAGATGGCGTTGCAGAGAAGCAGAGTGGAGACGTCCGCCCTGCTGTCCCCCCACCTGGAAGCCGTATCAGATTAGGGGACGAAACGGCTGATGAGAGGTGGTTCTGACTGATGATGTCTGCAACACCCAGCGCTGAAAGGCGTGTCAAGTAGCAAGCCTACAAGGCAGGTGAGTCTTACTCTTAGACTCATGCTGTATTTGTCCAACAAGAACCCTGTGTTATTTGGCTTATCATAAGGGTCAGAACACCTAAAGTTAGCTTTCTTCATCACGTTGTACCGTATAAAAATACAACTTAAGCAGCTCCTACTTTTAGATGATGTATGTCTTTCAAATAAGTCAAAAACTGGTGCGTTATGGCCTAAGACAGATTATCAGTTATGCAATATAAACAAAGCAAAACAAAACAAAAACGTGATTGTGATATCCCCTATCTAGACCCTCCAAATCCAGCCAGGTTGTCCCAGAATAGCCCATATCATTCCTCCCTTATCTATTTTAGCCCTACAGGCAGCTGTCATGCCATGTATGTCAGTAGGGCTGGACGACCCTTCTGACCCAAGGATCACGTTTTTTTACTCCAGGATTTGTGTCTATAAAACCATCCCCAAGTGCAACCCTTCGTCCTGGGGACCAAGTCCAAGTTCTAATTTTAGGCCGTCGAACCACAGGCAGTGTTGTGACATTGCTTACCATTAAGCCAATTTCCATCTATGGTTCAAGAATAACATTTTGTAAGATAATCCATTCTCTCAAGAGCTGTGTATTTGTCTTGTATCAATGATAGCTGTAAACTAATGTCCTCACTCCTCCATAAATTGAAAGACAAGACCCCATGCTAGCTAGCTCTCATTATCCGTCAATTAATCCCACCCCCCTATACCCATCTCATCAGTATCACGGTGCTCATATTTGGGGATGTGTACCAACCCACCATATGCAAATGTATGCTAATAAGGTGGTGACTTTTGGCTTGAGACTTGACGGGTCCCTGACAACAGGGGTACATGTCTGCATCTCTATGTGGATTGTAGCAGGCGACACTTGAGGTGGGGAAACAGTAGCCCTTAATTTGAGGAGCAGTCGCAATAGAGTAAGGCACTCCACCTGTTGGACAGAAGGCAGAGAACATACTCAGGATTTTCTCTCTACATCTGGTAGCGCAGAGTTGTTTCCTTTCATTTGCAAGGAGCTATTTTTGAAGGAGGACTCCTGTTAACATCTTCTCTTCTTCTCAGTAAGTGCAGTTTTTGCTTATCTTGAAAATTGCGTAGATGAGCTAGGTTTGTTCGTTGATTAGAACGTACTTGGAAAGTGATGCGTCTTCTTTGTTGTTTCTATACAAGGCCAGAATAGCGACGGAATAAGTGACAAGAGAGCCTATTTGAGTGTTTGCAGTTTAATTAGCAATTGGGTGCCATGTCTGGAGTAAGAGGCCTGGAACAGCATCTAAGACAAGTGTTGCTTTTGTAGTGATATCAAGGATATAGATCCTATGTCATCTGCGATATGCTAGCCAGTTTGTAATTCTTGTCATAATACACAGATAGGAATATTTCTACATTGTTTTAATATGGTAACCAGTTTTCTTTAGATAAAAGTATTGCTTCGTGAAGGGGGGATATTTTCTTCTATTTATGGCTTTCTTATCTCTTGAGAAAAACAGATGAAGGGATGGCGCTGTTCTTATTTTGCAGTTTTTATGTTCAGAATCGTTCTGTAATCTTGTTTGAGGAAGAAACAAGTAAGGACAACACAAACAGCCCTTGACATTGAGAGCAGTCAGGGCGCACAAACAGTATATTTGCAAGTTGACTGCATCATTGTTTTGTCTTCCTGCCAAGCTTTCTCACATTTGGATAATACCAGTAGTTCTCAAGTGCCATATTCGATAACAGGCTATTTCGAAATAATATTTGATCTGTCTAGAATTTATGTATATTATAATCAGGATAATTTCCACAGTTGTTTTAATTGTCAGAGTTTCTAAAGAATTTAAGTTGACGGGACTGGTAATGTTTATCTCTGAAGTGTTTTTTCCACTTGAAGGTTCTGTTGAACATTCTTGTCAAGTTTACAAGACCAAACTATGTACCAAGGTCCTGGTAGAGTGAAATATCCCAGTCCAATGCCACATCTTTATCTTGAAAAACAGTCTCCCAGTCAACTTTGGCCTGATAAAGTAATTGTCTAACATTTAAAGACAAATATCTGTTTTGTCACTAGGCTGATACCTTAACCATTGCTGAAGTAGAAAATACTTTTTTGGCCAATATCATATCTGAATGTGTTCCTTTTCCTGTCAAAAATTTAAAGTCTTTAAAGTTTAAACTATTTTTCTTTGTTAAGATATTGCATACACACAAGTACATGTATGAGGTCATTGGCCTATTTTACAAGTACTTGTGACCCCTAGTTTGCTTTATTGGAAACGATCAATCACCCTCAAGTAGGAGGTTGAAGTGAACAATATATTGTTGTTTTCTTTATCCAGTGCATCTGTTGCCTTCTGTCTCTTTACTCTTTGGTGTATGTGTAGATAATGGCCACAACAACATTGACCTGGTAACTGTGGTTTGACCAGAAGCCATGTACAGCTGTAATTGTAGCTCACTGATGTCAGTTTTAGGGCAAATTGCTGTTGACCCATGACCTTCCTCCTGATG